AGTTTCTTTGCCCGCAACGAGGTCCTTTATTAAGTTGGGGATATAAAATAGAAACATTTCCGTTCAATGTCATTTCCTTAGGGTTCTTCAATAAAGATATAAATTCCAATTAAAGCGTACTTTGGTCAACCATCTTGGAACTCCCAAATAGACTTCTTACGAGCACTTTCAAGGACCGTCGACGACGTCGGCCTTTCTCTTGAAAACTCGAGAGTCAGCTTGGAGAACAATATTTTTCATGTTGATTCCATCCATACTCTATTGAATTTTTTTTGTCACGTACTTAAACATTTTAATCCTGCAGCTCCAGTGGACGGATTCATACGAAAGCATAGTTTTAATGTCGATAAGTTGTTTAATTGTTAGATATTACAACCATGTTGACATGGCCAATGCTTCCTTGTGGTGAGAATTGAATCCCGTTGGCTTGTATGCGAGGGATTTGTTTCCTGCCTATAACTCTCAACCTAGCCTTAATTCTCTATACAGGTTGATGAGGCAATACAACTTTGCTGCAATGATGGAGTGGTACTGGTGTCTTGGGTCGACAAGAGTTTGTTATCTGTGCGGCAGAGTAATTTCCCCATACACAATTCTTGTTTTGCTGCAATGCACATATTGTCTTCATGTTGCGTGCATGATTGGGTAGTTCAACATGAACCACTTCTGCGTCATTCTGGTCGATTAGGGTTTTGCCGGCGGTGCGTGTGGATCATGCACGCGAAAAAGACCCCAAGATTCAGGGAGCAGGCCAGCAGTGAGGCTGCAACTCCATATGGGGTGGGTGGTAAGATTAGATCTTAATAAGTAAGTATCAACTCAGCCTATTGTACTATTTTTAAATTTGAAAAAATTTTAAAATTAAAATCCTAAAATAATCTTATTTGACTCTGATACCATGTAAATTTTGAAGAAAAAAAATATTTATTTTATTTTCTCATACTCCATGTGATATTATAATCGAGGTATTTATACAGAATTTCTATCTACGAATAATGGAATTTACATTATTGTGGGGATTCTAAGAGATTCTACTAATTAATTACATCATTATAGGGTAACATGGTGGTTATAAAGAAAAAATATCTTGATTAAAGGGGCAACAGAACATTCTAGTCAATACTAAGCCACCTGGGAAGATTACCATATCCCTCAGCCTTGTAATCCTTTGCCCTCCCTCTTCTAGCCCATACATACCGATAATCAACTTCCACCAGAAGCAGCTTCGGTTGAATTTTCACAGCCACTTGACAAGAAACACTCTCTTAAAGCTCATCTGTGATCTTATACCGAGTCCGCCCAAATTTAGAGATACTTTAACCACAACACATGCCACCAAGTGGAATCTCCTCTTCTCGTTCTCCCCATGAAAACCAATATTAAATGGCTTCCAGTCTCTTAGCTACAGTGACCAGACTTTGACAATGTTCCACCAATACCCAGCTGCTTCTCCAGTCGAGAAACATTTGTTCACGACCTTGTTGGACTAGAAGTTAAAAAGAGTTTATATAATGCCACGTGATGTTAATTTATTTAGTAGAATTCACTAAGGCCAGCCTCCTAAATCAGGAACCTCCATATTTTGTTCATAACCCACATTTTGGTGATAATAAGTTAATAACCACAGGGGACTATCTTAAGAGGCCATATCGATGACTTTCTTGAAGAGTAAATATCAAGGCTAGCCTGGATGCTATTAATCATAGAACAAAAATATTTCTGCCATCATCAAACTAATAACTGACTCAAAACCTTCCAGCATTTCTTTTGAGTGTCTCTTCCAACAACCAAAAAATTGTCAATTGTTTTAAGAAGAAAAGAGGAAAACTCAATTCTTAGTAGTTCAAAGTTTGATCAATCCGGCTGATAGTCAGCAATTGATGACGAGGCATCCTTAGAGAAGCTCTCAACGGATCATCAAGCCAAAATTCACCCCTCCAAGATTTCTTTTCATTAGAAACATCTCCTCAACTTGTTAAAGCAACCCAACTTACTACTGCCCTATCCCTCTACAAATTCATGCCACCCCATAGGAACCTCATTCATCACGAAATATCCAGATTCCATCATCCTCTTATTTTTCTTCGATTTAACCAATGCAGAGACATTTAGATCTAACCTCATCCGAACTTGAAAGTTTCACTTTAAATGCTAAAAGATTGAATTTCAGAAAAGTAAAGTATCAAGTCTCAACCCACAGCAGAATCATGTGCAACGGTCTGCCAACAAGCAATGAACATTTACCACGTAGATGAGTTTTTCTTTCTTTTCGAACTTCCCATTTTATGACATAAGTTATTCTTTTCCTCAGTGAATAACGTAATAAAGCACCTAATATTCTATGAATCGCTAATAAATTCACAATCAAAATACTCAGAGACAACCCAAAATCTTTTTCTTGACTTCAGAAAGGAAAACAATACCAATGGGACTATTAGCTGCTCCTCTTTCAGCTGACACCATAACCGCTGGTCCTTGCACCTCCGGCTGCTCATCCTGCATTACCACCCACCAAAAGCTTCAATATTTAAAAAAGATTAAATAGAAATAATACAATTTTCAAACGCATAAGAATATGGAACTTTTCGGATAAAACTTAAATAAGAGAACTTCTGGAAAATAAATCACCTCTAGTGAAAATGTGGAGAGAGCAGCGATCGCTTCTTCAACAGGAATTGCCATCAATGGCCAACCACTACACTAATTGCACTTTTCACTTGAACTCTGTCAAAAATCCAGAAAAGTTAAAATGAAAGTACTGCATTCTTTCAGTTGGCAGAGAGAATCACGGATTTACTGAAATGGCAACCAAGTCGAATTCGGAGATTCTGCCTGGAACCGAGAAAAACTGAGTCGAGACTCAATTGGACACCTCTTCGTATGGGAAGTTGATGAGAAGCAATTATGTCTGAAGTCTGAACTTTGAAGTTAGATTGATTTACTGGATTGGACTTTTTGTTACTGAAAATTACATTAATGCCATTATGAGTAAAACCTTACAGAATTTCTATTTGATAACCATATATAAATATTCCAATTATTCGATTAATATTTATATCATTTATTTTTTCTATTTATATTTATTATTATGATAAAATTACTAAAATACCCTCCTATATATTCTCGCTTCACATCCGGAACCCAACCTCCCGGCGGCTGCAACAACAAATCGCGGCACCATGCTTGCGCTCGCTTCGCCTGATTAGCCGGCGACTTCTCCGGGCGATCATCTTGGTCTAACGGTCACGTTAGCAGTTGAAAATATTCCTTCTTTTTGATAGAATATGCTCAGGCTGGTCTGAATTAGGCCCCTCTGCAAATCTTTTTGGCTTTCAGTTCTTTTTCTGACTTCTTTGCAATAAGATGGTGGATTGTGTTGGTTCCTCTATTAATTTTATGGTATATTTAGATCATGATTGTTTGGTGGTAAATAATAGTCAATTAATATATGATATTTTATAAATATGATAAAATAATTTTAAATTTAATATAATAATATATAATTATAATTATTTATTTTTAATATATAAATAATTTTATTTTTATTAAAATTAAATTATTATGATAATATAAATAATAATTATTTATTTTATCAAATATAAAAATTTAATTTTATTATATGTAATAATTATTTATTTAAATATAAATTTAATTATATTTTTACATAATTTATTTATTTTTTTATTATATATTTTTTATATACTATTTATTATTATATATAATAAAAATAAAATAAATTAGTAATTTAATTGAAAATATAACTATATTATATTATCATTTAAACAAAACCGCTGATATTAACATATATTAATATATAATCATTTAAATATAAAAAAAAATTGTTATTTGCATCATATATCATTATCATTCAATTACTGTCACTGTCACTGTCACTGTCATATATTAATTACTCATCACTCAAATTTATCTAAACAGGATCTTAGTATGACATTGCTCTGTTATTTCGTTATGAGATTTAGTTTGTTTAAAGATGGATACACAAGCTTACTATTGATATTGATCAGGGACAATATTGTGTAGAATAATTGGAGAAAAAATATGAATTTTTTTTTGTGGCTGTTAACCCAGCTTAAGAAAGATGATAGCTTTATTCCGGTGATGTTTGTTTAGTACTTTTAAGTTATCGTGTAAAGGATATTAATCTTAACATTTATTTCACTTTCACACTCAAATTATTATATACATTTCATTTTAAATTTCCGGAGTCGTTAGAATAGCTTTATAAACTATCAGGTGAAAGGCAGTATTGAATGAAATCTTCTATTTTTCATTGTCCAGGATTAAAAAGAAAAAAAAAATGTTCTATTAATATTGTGTTCTATCAAAAGATTTCAGGATGAACTTTTTCTTCTTTTCTTTTTTTCAATATGCCACTCTACGAAAAAAAAAATAGGGGAATTTAGAGAAATCTTTTTCTTGTGTATTGAATATAGATCCATGTCTTTCTTGTTCCACTAGCAAGAACCAAATTCTCACATGTCCGTATCAGAGAAGGTGAAGCGGAGGCAGAGTGGCCAAGAGACCAAGAGACTAGCTAAAGAAGTTTTGAAATCGAGGTTAAAAGAGAGAGACCGTTAAAAAATGGAGGAAGCGGAGGCAGAGTGGCCTTTCAGAAAGAGACAAAGATGGTGTTTTGGGCTTCAACTGTCAAGATGGTATGGTAGTTGAAAAATCAAATCATAAGAGGCCCAGAGTTTTTTTGGGAGATCGATCAAAAAGGAAGGTGAGGTAGTTCGATGGGAACAGGAAGAAAAGGAAAAATAATGAATCTAAGAAATCCAAATTTTGATCGGGAAAGGAGAAATAGCGTGAGAAACAAGACATGACGTAAACTACAAACGACTCGAGAGGCTTCTACAAAAGTAATGTTGCAAGAAATAAGAAGTATTACAATTTAAGTTCATTCAGGGTTGTTCATGTTTTTTCTGGTGTATTTAATCATTATTAACTTCAAGTTTTGGCACTTAATTGAATTGATAATATTTTTACTGAGAATACCCATTTTGTTTAACGACCTAATCTTGATTTGCGTTTCATAATATTGCTAGTCTTCGGTAAATGTTTTATATGATATGAGTCATTTTTTTTAAGCAGTATTAGGCAATTTTAAAATACCTAATGTGATCAAATTAAATTATTATATTGGGACAAACTTAAATTGAATGAAAAAATAATAATTATTTTTTACTTTGCTTCAAAAGTAATTTTTAATTTTATTAAATTCTGTAACATTTGGAAGACATTTATGTGAAATAGTAATTTAGAGTTATTGAAGAATAAGATTAAATTTTATTTTTTTGTAAAAACAATATTTCTCACAAGGTTTAACTTCTTTTAAAAAAGATAGATATTATAATATAATATATATATATATATATATATTGTTAGAAAAGTTTTTAAACTCTCTAAAATATTTACTAAACAAAGAAATAAAATAATTGAGTAAATAATTTTAAATATTATTAAAAAAACAAAACAAATTTAAAGCTTTAGTCTAGACATACAAAAATAGAGCCTTGGACTTTGATTAAGTTTTTTATTAAGAACTATCGTTGTCCCTCACCTACTTTAATGCTTAAGTATAGATTCGTAATTTTAAATATTATTACGGATTAATCTACAAACTATTACTGTCAGTAAAACATATAAATTTTTGTAATATACAGTTTTAGTAATTCTCCTTTTAAAATAAGTTTAATCTGTAACGAAAACAAAGTTAAAATATTTAAATACTAGAGCATAAATATTAAGAACTTCGAAGAATATGTAGGAAGGTTGGCCCATTTTTTGCTTTATTTTCAATCCTGCGGAGGAAGTCAGCAACCCACTAGATGATGGCAGGGTGGTTTAGGTAGGATGGAAATCATAAGATTGTCAACATAATGGGATCCCATGTTTATATAAGTACACACTTACATATCATTAAAAGACCAGAGATATTTTGCAAATAAATGTAATTCAATTTTTGCTTATTATTTTATTACATGTCATTTTATATTTCCTAGTTGCTTTAGTGTGAAGCATGATCTAATGTCTTTTGTCCGAAGCATTAGCAAACTGGAGAGCCACTAAGTGATCAATTCACATGTTTGGTTTGATTCTGAAGCTTAAAAGAAATTTAACTAACGAATTAATAGTAATAATGAGCTTAGCTTATATACTTTGTTGTTCGAAAGTTTTCATACCCTTGAGTTTCAGTATTATTATTGAGTTTTTTGGTATTATTATTCTGAGTGGAGGCTTTAATAAAAACCTGATTCCAGTATTATTATAATGAGGCACTGAGTGGACAGAAAAACCCCAATGTGAGTCCCTTGTTTGATTTTTTTTTTTTTCTTTTTCCTTTAAGAACTTGAGGTTCAGTATTTACAATATATCAAACTATGAAAAAGATACATACTGAAGAGTGGAGGCAAAGGGCTCCAAACAAAGATCTGTTTATAGTTCTTGACTTCTTGAGTTTGATAATTGCGAAAAAGAACCAAAAAAAAAAAAAGTTAAGCTTTATTTGATAATTTTAAGAGTACTTTTAAAAATTTGTAAAACATAACATAAAAGATGTTGACGTAGAAAATTTTAAAATGTTATTTTCGGTGTTTTTTTATAATTTTTTTTTTAATGTTTTCATTGTTTAACAAGTATATAACTACTACATGAACAGAAAACATCTGTAAACATATAAACTAACATATTAAAATTATAATAACAAATTTTCCAATAAAATTATTATTCAAATTAAACATTTCACGGTTTTAAAAAGTTCAAAATTAACACCTATGTCCACTAATCTGTATTTTCAAACAAAATCTACGGCCATAAGAACCTCCCACTTGATTTGGTCATGATCATAATTCATTTGTAGAAGCTCAAGGGCTTGTAACACTATTATTCTGATGAAGAAGAAGAAGAAGAAGACGAAGAAAAGAAAAGAAAAGAAAAAAAAATGAACTGCTACTACTACCTAGCTCATCCATAAACTATTACCAATCTTCAAACCTAATGAGATGAGGCAAAAACACAAGGTATGAAGATAATGGAATCACTATCTAATGTCAGATTGATTATTACGTACATGTTATACTCGATATAACAAACAATGATATTGCTCTGATTTTGAAGCATTAAAAATTCTTAGTGTGCAGCTGAGCCTAAAACAAAAATGCTGCTCTTAGTTCTAGAACAATTCTATATCTAAGGAAAGGGCTAACCTACAGCTTTTTAAACATATATATATATATATATAGCTTACCTACAGCTGTGATGATGTATCATCTGTTGCAGGGTTGATGACCTGCCTAGCAGAAATGACCTTGTCCAAGGTTTGATCTGGGACTGCAATTCCAGTAGTCTCCATGTCTGCAACAATTGCAATAGCTGCATCCAGCTCTCCGAGGTCAAGGCACAATGATACTATCTCATCATAAAGGGGACTGCCATAAAGAAAAAAAATGAGTAGAGGATATAACTTGCATCAGGGTGATTAGAAGTCCCCATAGAGCATTCAAGATTTGCTTATGGTAAATAATGCAGACCCAAGAATGAGAACATTAATTAGGACTGTCCCAGATATCAGAACAAACTCTGCAACTTTCCTGGTTTAGAGAGAGTCAGAAAATATGAAGAAAGAATTGCATTCTTGTTGTATATCTATTCATGAATCATGTAGGCTATTTATACACAAGAGTCCTATTTGAATAAGATAACTAACTAATTATAAAGCTCATTATATGATTTTTAATATGCTAAATTAAGGCCCAAGTGTAAGAGGGAATAAATCTAATACATAAAATACAATCAATACCATAAATACAATATTCTAACAATAAAGCTGATTGATATAATACAATTAATAAAATAAGTACGATATTCTAACATCCCTCCTCAAACTCAAGCCGGTTAAAGATTGGTTAGCTGGAGTTTGGAAACTATGGAACCGACCAGGTGGGTGAGCCTTGGTGAAGATAGGAATGAGTCTATGATTTTAGTTTTGTCGCAGGTAAGTTGTGGACATGGCAAGATATAATAGAATAAGAGAAGGAAGAAACTTATTTTTCTAATCCCTCTAGCCACTTGGTGAAAGATATAGAAAAGTCTTCCTGTATGTTATTCTTTTGATAGAATCCAGAAAGTTTGGTCCCAAACATTTGTTCCGTTTGAAGGTCACCTATTCAGCTTGGCTGAAGATTTAGGGGGCATCATAGACTTCTTGACTAGCCTGTAAAAACAGCCTTTTGTTTATTTCTTTTGTATGTACGTGGCACCCCCTTGGTCCTCTTTAATGAAGTTCATCTTTTTTTTCTTCAAACTGGAGCTCAGAGTATGAATTCACAAGTATAAAGCACAAATGTGCATGCAAATGCAGGGATATTTGATTTAGTAGTAGAGATCCAAAGGCAATATTTTAAAAAAGCATAATGCAGTTAGTTAAATATCTGAACAGCAATATCCAGGAATCATTTCTATCCAATTTCCTTTACTTTGGTTTGTGACAAGAGTTCTATTTCTTGGAACTTTTTATTTTTCAGAATTCTTAATTTTCCAGAAGCCATTGATATGCTCAGTCTTATTCAGATTTTCGAGTACATGGTTCTTTGAATTCATCTTAACTGTAGAGTCTGATCTTTGTATTCACGAGGTGCTTATTCCTGTAAGTTCTATATGAATTTTCTGATTCTTAATCCTGCTAAGCAGAATTCGTTTTATCACAAGCTTCTATGAAAGGCACCACTTTAAGTTTGCTTTGGCTCAAACAGAATGCTAGAATCTTTAGGAACCACAAGTCTCCTTTTTTTGCTCTGGGATAAAGTTTGCTTTCTGGCTTCCTTTTGGGCAACGAAATTTAAGGATGTTTCTTCATCAATTTGTACGGAGACTAACTGGCTATTATTTCCATTAAGCAGCTAGCATCTCTCTTTTTTGTTTGTTTTGTTTTCTCCCAGAGGTATCATATCCTCATTATCCGTATCTTTCCTTCTAATATATATTCTTTTTCTACCCAAAAAAGGTCCCACAGATATTTTGCTTGGCTAGGGAGAAAAAGAGGATAACATTTTATTTTCCTCTAAAAGACACATGCTTAAGTGGCAAGTTGGAGGATGACACTACTTAAACAAGATCCAATAAAAGCAATTTAGTATATAAAAGGATATGAAGGCTAACCAATTACTTTGTCAAATCAACAGACATAAAGTTACCTCCCAAAGACATAACCAAGACTATGCGAGGTCTGCAAGATCTTCAAGAAAGATGAAGGCATAGGAGCTCTTATTGCTGCTCGCAATATCATTGCACAATCCCCAATGGTCGGTGTTCCACCCAATTCTATTACCTGAAAGATTATTCAATGCTTAATATAGTCTATAAGAGCACACAATTGATTCAATAGTTTTGTGTGAAACATGACAAATGGTGAAAGGAAAATGAACAATCTTTTCGCACTATATTTTCTGCTAGATTTGCATTAAAGTCACAGTTGTAAGAAACATAAAGCTTATGGAAGAACATTACAAAATTTCTTTTAAAAAACATAATATACATATATATACACATTTAAATATAGGGTAACACCAATGTTGATTTTATACCAGAGAAAAAGAATAAAAATAACTGAGGAAAATCCCAATAGATCATCAAACTGGAAAAAACTGAAAAGACCACAAGAACAAGAAGATAATTCCATCATTATTGGTGAGGGATGTAGACATGTAGTTGGTAAAACACAGAAACATGCCTTCAGTAGTACTTGAATTGCCAACTCAACTTCCCATTCTTGTGACCATTTTCTAGGAGGTTTTTTCTTCAGCTCTCTCTCCCATGTCCAACCCCAAGCATCAGCTATTGTATACATGTCAGATACATCAAACACTTTTCTTTCTCTCATCTCCTTGAGTGCTTCAAATATATCCTCAGGAAACCAATCATCGTCGTCGTCGTCCTGCAGTCACAAATAAAAGAAATAAAAAAGAAATCTCCTCAAACCTTAGTGCCTATGTCATGCAGCACCAGCTGTAAAAGGTTGTGCTCTGCTTTGTTTGGGAGTTGCAAGGGAAGAGAAGAGAAAGGATAGGGAGAAGAGGAAAAGATGGCACTTCCCTTTTTCTTTTTTGGATACTCAAAATGGTGGAGAAAGAAATTGATGAGAAATAACTCAAGGTTCTTCATTTGTTGAGTGAAAAAGAAAAGAAAATACTTGTTTTTATAATTTTTTTTACCATTTCTCTCTTTCTCTCATATTTAATTAATTTTTTTATATAGTAGAAGAAGAAATGGGAAAATATAACATAGAGGACAAGCTATCCTCCAAAAAGAGAAAACATACCAAAAAATTATAAACGGAAAGAAAAAGAAGAGAAGTCTAAATACAAGATGCAACTCAATCCCCCTAAAGGAAAAAGAATAGGAGTAAGGTT